TAAGTATCATCACCGTTAGCTTAGCTTGGGATAATGAAACACAGGATATCTAACTAAACATTATTAGAAAAGCTTATCCTTGCTTCAGCGATTTTTCACGATGCCTGGTCTAACACAATCATTGAGTTTGACAGATAATTTGAATAAAATAATTGAAACACACAAAAAGTGCTCCGTGTTTGAATATTATTTGGTCTTCAAAGAAGTGTGTATCCATAGTAAAATTATACGTGTACAGTGCAGGCACAACAACCCTGCAAAGAGGAGTCAAGCTGTAATTCAATTAATTCTACTCAAATCCTCAAGCTAGAGCCACGTTCCAAAATTTCGGCTGGATAAAGAAGGTTCCAGAACCTGTTTCCAGAAAATGCTTTCCTCCACTGACCACTTCCAAGTAAAAAAGTCTCTCTGTTAGTCATTCATTTGCTCATTAACTCATTCCTAATAAAGGCTTGCCTCTTTTGATTTAGAAAAGATTTAGAAGGTAATACATATAACTACCTTGATTTTAAATTTACCCCATACCCATAACTATCAAAATATCACACCATGTCCCTGTAAGTATGAACAATTATCACTTACTAATTAAAGTTACAAATACACAGATATGCATGCACTATGAGAGGGAGTGATGAAGAAGATGCAACCTCACTATAACTGGACAAAGTCAGAAAACAAGGAAGGGGAGTGTCAGCAAACGTGAGAGGTATGAATGTCAAGGAAAATGCTTCATGCAATGCAACAAATTATTCTTCACACAGATTAAATAAGACATAAAATTACTAGCTACAAGAATGACATCAAACACCGAGGGGCTTCGATACTCGACAGACCCAAGGGAACCCGGTGCCGTCTGTATGGTCTGAGATTTAACACCTACCAGAGTAAAGGATGTGTCCACGGATCAGATCAATTGTGAGCTGGAATTGAGATACTTTTGTGAAGTCAGGGGCCAGGAAGTGCTGCACTATTACAGAGTAGAAAGCAGGCCTGGAAATCTTGAGGGACGAATACTATCTTTGGGACCCTTAGTGGAAAGGGGCATCGTAGACATTCAAGATATCCTCATTTTGTGCCATGGGCATTAATGCCAATCTACATGACTTATTGGGTGTAGCATTTTATATCTAGAGATGTAACCAAAGGTGGCACCTTGAACAGGTGAACCCCAGAGATGTCTGGCACCAAAAGCCACCTTATGATGACATCTTTAAATGCAGAATGGATGAGGTGACTGTGAACCAGAGCCCTTGCATTGAAATCATGTCTAAACTGGAAATAGTGAAATAAAATATCTCCATGAGATAGTCAGCAGACCAAATGGCACAATCCATGTACTTATGAGCCGTAAGTAATGGAATGAAACCAGCAATTTTGTTACAGCAGATAAAGAAAAGTGAATGTTCAAAATCCACAGGAAAAAATTTAGAACTGTATCCATTAGAAGTCCTATTTTCACAAGAACCCAGGAGACACACGTTGAAATTAAAAATGTAAGATGGGCATGGAATTAATCCAAATGAAGCACAAACCCTCAAAGCCATGGAACCTGAAGGAAGAACTGCATAGCTTGCAGCCCAGATTGGAAACATGACATACAGCTGGGAGCTCTGGGATGGAAGGGAAACGATGCCTATGGAGACCAAAGCTCAGGAGCTCAGCAGAGACAGGAAATGCTATCCCTGTCACCTAGGTGTATAGGAACAGATGCACATCCACACCAAGAAACCAGAAGAGACAAAAGCCCTGATGGGACACAGAGAAGACACATTCCCCACAAAGGCATAAAATGAGACTGCAATAACAGAGAACGGGTTGCATCCATATGAATTAAATCTGTGACATCCATGCTTCAGAACCAGTAAGAGTTAAAGAACGGAATAATCCTTTAAAAGTTAGGAACATGGATCCAAATACAAGCAGTTAGCACAAGATAAGATGGTAGACATCAGAGCACTCGTGAGCAAATACGATGAAAATATAATATGAGGTAGGACTGAACAAATTAAAAAGACAACTTAGGAAACACACCTGAATCCAAACAGTGCCCACAGGAAAGAGCACACCTGCCGCATACATTTGAAAAAGTCTGTGCTGGGAACACTGGAATGTTTGTGACATTACTCTTCATCCTTTTCTGTGTCTTTGAAACATTTCGAAGCAAACATCATTTAAATAGAAAGAGACAGTGGAGGAAGAGAGGCAACTCAACAAGAACATAGGACAGGCATGGCCTGTGTTGCAGGAGCCTTCCTCTTAGCTTGCATCTGCCAACACTAGTGGGGAAAGGTGGCCTGTGTGGACTCCAGAGGGCTCATGTCCAATAGTCACCCGAGTTTTCAATATAAAAACAAGTATGTGATGAAGTTTGAGAGAATGGACTTTTCTTGGGCCTTTCAAGATGTAGCAGAACCCAAGAGACAAGAATGCCACAACCAACAGGGTGTGATGTAATGCCATTTTTTTTCCTTTTTAATTTTTAAGAATTCTTATTTGCCTTTCTTAAAACTGAGAACTATGAAGTGTCTTTGTTTATTTTTTTTTTGTTCTGTCTTTGTCCTCTTTCGGGATGTTTTTAAAACAGCCACCCATGTTTCCAGCTCCTTCCAGAGAGCAACAGCCCTTGCATCACTTAGGATGTGGGTTATACAGAGGTTCACTTGATGGGCAGATACACGAAAATGAGTGAGAAAATGAGTGAACTCGTTGGACAGTAGCAATGAGGCCCCAGCTCCCTGGGCAATGTGATTCCACCAACATGCCTCTGCTCCCTGGCAGAGAGGAGAGGACGAACATTTCTCTCATGTACCAGCTGGTGCAGGCCTGGAACTGGAAAGGAATTTAATTTGTTGGCATATTTGAATGGGAAGCTGATCAGCTGACAGCGGGAAATTTCACTGAGAATTTTATTTTATTTTTTTCAGCAGAGAAGGGTGCCTGTGGCTCATGTCTGCTGATGTTAATTTGTGGGAAAAGCGGAAATCTGGTGGGAACCCCTCCAAAACAGGGGAGACAGCTGAGGAACTGTATATATGAATAATGCCTTGCCTTGCTGTTTCTCCTATAAATGCCATTGCTTTGGCTCAGCGCCCAGGATAAAAGCCTTTGCAGTATAGAGGGGAAGGAAAAATTTGTTTCTAATTGTTAAGCATCTTCATCTGAAAAAAAAAAAAAAACCGACACTCGATGCCCACAAATCCTAGCCGAGCTACACAGGATAAATTGCAGCACATGACTAATCTTGGTTGACTGAATTTTTTTTTTTTTTTGCTCCTACAAAATAGGCAGTGACAAGAGAAAAATCTATTTCAGAAAATTTTCTCTATATCCATTTATTATAAGAATGATAAGATCCTTAAAACTTTGCTTAAAATATAAAAAGGAGAGCTATCTTAGCCATGTTAAGAAAGTGGAGGAAGGAGGGTCCTTTAGGAATCCGGATGGCAAAAGTGGTAGATGAAAACTAGACAGACAACTTAGAGCAGAGACCCTACAAGCAGGAGGGATCCAGGTTCTGAACAATTCTCCTGTCAGTATTCAGGCATCTGTACTGGCTTGCTCTTGGGGTTCTGATAGGATACACCCTCAGCTTCAGCCACTAAGAGCCACCTGTGCATATTCACTATGTTCCCTTTTAAAAGGGACCTGCCCACCTCCCATCCCCTCTCTCTGTGTGTCCTTTTCTCTTTCTGCTTCTTGGCCTGTCTCTCTGTCTCTCCCCCAACCCCAATCCCTGCCACATCTCTTTCCTCTCTCCTGCTACTCCTGTCCCGAGAGGTTGGTCCCCCCTCCCCCTTTCCCCATTTCCTTTCCCCTAATAAAAAATAATCCCTCCACTTGAGCTCTGCTGCATGGCATCTTTCTCTAGCGCTGAGCTTTTTAAATTACAACACCTCCCTGGCTACATGTAGGGATGTGACCAGAACACCAGTCCAGACTGCTGCTGTCTGGTGAACAGCTTTGGAACTGGATCTCTCTGGTTTTCACAATGGAAATGACTGTGTCTAGCCCCGCCCCTCCCTCTCCCCCTTGCCTGCCCTGGTCTCAGCACAGCTCCTATACAATGTTAACCTCTTTAGAGGAAAGATTGCTACAGTAACCTTTGATGTCGCTCTGCTGATGCTCACTAGTGTTGGCTATTTTCCCTTCCAAGAGACTGGAATCTATTCTGGGTCTTGGATGGAGATCTAACATTTTAAGCTACCCCCAGAACATACCAGTTAATCCAGCTGGGCCTGTCAATCACCTGACTAGCCATGCTAAAGGGATGGGAGGAATAACATACTTTCCCTTCTCAGAAACTTAGCCCTCAGTATAGTCACTTGGTGAACACTGGTTAAGTCTGCCTGACTTTATGAATTACTCAGAAAAATGTAACTTTTCCTTTTCTCCATCTCCTTCTTTCAGATACTGGCCAAAGCCTGGGCACTTTTGGGCGTCCTTGTTTCTCCCCTAAAGTTACACCCTACTCCAACATTTCTACCCCCCCACCACCACAAGTTGTTTACATAAGGCATAGGCTTCTCTCTTCTCCATTTCTATCAGTTTCCTCCAGGAATTCTCTAAGAGTCAATGCTTACCTGCCCTGCTCGTTTCTTTCAAAGGCTAACAAAATTGTACTCAAGCTTTCTTCTGAGTCTGTTCTTAGAGTTTGTTCTAATGAGACTAATAACTCTGAGGTGAGATGCCAGCTGCCTCAGTCTCAATAGCATGCTTTTTTTGTGAGTGGGTGGAGCCTGAAGGTGTTGCCCTTTCAACCAATAACAGCACTGTGTTGGCACATACACACATATGGGCATGTGTGTTCTTTTGTGTATGTGTGCCGTGGAGGAGGCCAGAAGTTGACATCAAGATTCGCAGTTACCTGGCCACTGCTGTGATACGGTTAATGGCCCCTCTATTTGGAAATTAGCATTCTTGCATATACTTTAGATAAACCCAGGCTCCAGGAGGGAGGCACACCAGCTGAGAACCCTCAGGGGGGTGGGCTCCGGACTTACTTTGGCAACACAAGAATCTGTACGATGAAGATGCAGAGAAAGATGAGGCAGGCGCAGGTCACATAGTACTTGAATGCTGGCAGTGCGGTGGCTCGGTACTGAGGAGGGAAAGAACACTGTGAGATGGTTGGTTGAAACTGAGGAGAAAAGCTGCGCACAGCTACCCAGCAGTTTCATTGTATCTGGGGTAGGATGATGCTTGTGAATTGCGGATTTCAGCAGAAACAAGGTATGGCTGCCATCTCAGGCAGCCAGGGTGTCCTTCCCCTCAGATGAACTGTGAGTGACTTACAGTTCTTACATGTACTGCAATACATGAGTGCGAGTGTTGGAAACCCAGATGTATGGAACAGAGTCAAGGCAGTGAGGAAGGAAACATCCCAGAAGAAGCTGAGTGGAAGGGCTCTGTGGAACTTGCCTGTGCCCCAGTTTCCCTACTCTAGCATTATTTGGGGAAAGGGAATGACTTTCCAAATAATAACACTTTTAAATAGCACCAAGAAAATGACAGACATACAGGATGCTTGTATGTCAGCATTTTACTTCATTATTTATCCTCAATGCAACTAAAAGTGTTGGATGAAGACAGAAGACAGAAGGTGTGTGGGATTGGTTCCAAGGCTGGCCCAGTGGGCCTCCTTTCTCTTGTCCAGCATCATCAATAGGGAGGGAGGAGTTCTGTCGACCATACAGGACCAAAGCCTAACTCACCATGCTGGCTGCCTCTCCAGGACTGCTCCTGGTTGACTTAGTGGGGAACACAAAGCCAGACACCACCACATCAATGATGACTGTGGTAGGTGGTGGTGACAGCCTCTGTTCCTAATTTAAAAACTCTGAATGCTTTAGGTACTAAATGCCCAACCCTGAAAACAGACCCACGGTGAGGCAGAAACTATTTCTGTCTCTGTTTCTGGTTGAAGGAACTACAGACCAGAGTTCACATTAATATTGATGATTAGTATGCAAAGGGATTCACTTAATACAAAACCCTGGGTTCTGCAGCAGGAAGACCAAAGGCAGCCTTCCACATCGCTGATTTCCCAGACTGAGTTCATAACAAAACTAAGGGAGACAAATTTTAGTGAAATGGCATGGTAACTTCTTGCAAATGCTTCCCAGTCTCTATCATCCATATTGGCCTAGCCTGTTGCTCAAGAGAGGAAGAAACTGATGCTGTTCTTGGATTTAAGCCACACAGGTTTTGGTGCTGAAAGATGGCTCTTCCTTAGGTCTCTTGCTTCTTTGCCCATATGTCTTCTTGTATTCTCTCCCCTTTTACAAGAAGTGCAAGCGGTGGGTAGGTGGATGAAAGGGGGCTTAAATACCAGGGTTCTCTGAACTTTGCCTTAGTGCTGGCTGGCATCTGCAGGTAGGTCCATGTGGGGAATGTGTGTACAGTTTGCTCAAAGCTGCATTCTTAGTGATGATTCCCTCCTCCTCATTAGGATGTCTGTCCTACTGAATGTTGAGACTTAATAGCCAGGATGATCTGCATGCTTTTGAGGGTGCTGTAATTAGCATAACTGCCGGAATGTGATTAGATTCCATGCATCCCTTCCTTCCTTATCTTTGAACTTCTCCAGGACTTTGTGTTGAGATGGAATCACTTTTTGGTACCAACCAAAGGCTTGGAGCAGGAAAGAACAGTGTGACAGTCACTTACACTAGGGCTCACAATAAACAGCCTTCTGTATCTGTTAGTATCACTCAGGGATAGGAAGGTATTAAGTATTAATTGGGAAACGATCTGTAGACAAAGTATTTTACCGAGAAGGTGACAACTGATCTTCTTGACCAGATACACCAGGGAAACCTGTGTGCCTGTAAAATCCAACTATCAAGACTTCTAAGTTTGATGTTTCCATTCAGTTTCTATGAAGCAACGAACTGTGCCCTCTAAGCAGAATTTTCTTAACAGTCAGGCATGCTGCCACTAACCTAAGCATTGTGTCCAAGCTGAGCTTGTAAGTATGAGGCTGGCTGATGGGCATGACCTCTGAACCCTGTTCTTTCTCTGGATCAATACAAAACAAGAGGTGAGTGGAGTGCAGGTAGCCTAGCAGAACCATATACCCTTCCTGGGATGAGTGTTTTAAACCCATGCTTAGCAAAGCTGTGAAAACCAAACACCTGCTGCTTCTTTGAGCCTAAACCAGCTCACTAAGAGTCATTGTGCCAAAGTATTGAGACACAGCAAAATTAAAAGTTCAAGTTTTCTAATTTCCTTAATGCAGTAGCTAGGTATAAATGCCATTCTGTCAACATTAGAACAATCTGTGTAACGTCACTGCCAATTAGGAACCATTTTCTTTTCAGTTTAAAGTGGTGGTTCCCAACTGGTGGGTCTCAACCTCTTTGGAGGTCAAATGTCCCTTTCACAGGGCCACCTGAGACCATCAGAAAACACTGACACTTGCATTACTATTCATGAAGTAGCCAAATTACAGCTATGAAGTAGCAATGAAAATAATTTTATGGTTGGGGTGGGTCACTACAACATGAGGAACTGTATGAAAGGATTGTAGCATCAGGAAGGTTGAGAATTTTCTGAGAAAATTTCACACTAAAACAGTCAGACATTAGCTATTACCTTTTCCTGTTCTTGCTGAATTTCAACCATGCATCTTTTACCATCGGGAGAGCAGAGAATACCAGAGGGCCAAAGAAAGAGTTGGCAAATAGAAATGTGCCAAAGAGTGCCTGGTAGCAGTAGAGCTGAGCCAGGAAGTCCTGGCCCAGTTAGAGGCTGTGCAGATTGTGGGGTGCAAAAATAAAAATGCCCCATGTACATGTCTGAAATCATCAAAGAACAAATTCAATGAAAGTTTCAAACACAAGTATTAGCAAAGTATTTAGTGAAAAACTATATTAAAAGTATCCACCCAGTTTCATTAATGAAATCAAAACTAGTATTTCAGAAAGAAAATCATACAGTTTTAAGAGGAAACATGGCTTACTTCTTTTTCTATATTCTTGTTATAGAAAAGCAGGGAGATTCTCTGAATGTCTTCAGACTTGAGCCATTGCCTGGAAATGAGAAAGACAGACAACCATCAAACATCCAATCAAGCATCTGGAAATGTTTACAGAAAAAATAAAAAAATAAAACACCCAGCATTTGTTCTTTCTTGAATGTAAACTCTGCCTAACTGAGTTATCTTTTTGGTGTATGATGCCAATTTATTTGATTTGGATACTACAAATGTCTGCAAATGTGGCAGGATCTATACATGTAACATGCATAATTGCACAATACCCTTCTGGGAAAATCACATAATTGTCATATTAAATTGAAACGAAAAAGTCTACCACATTAAATTGCTAAAAAAAAAAGAAGTCATCCCAAAGATACCAACATTTCCACACTCCATCTACACTCACCCAAATCCCTTTTTATTACCATCTTTTTCGTCTCAAGAGAGTGTAAAACCATGTTGGAATGAAGCTTTCAAAAGAAATACTACAAATAAAGATTTATGTTTAGGCACTGCTGACTTAGAGTCCCTTGGCATATTCCTAGGAGTGACATAATCAGGTTATATAAATCGGGTCATATGTAGACATAGGAGGGTTTATGGTCAAATGGCAGCGGCATCTGCTGGAGGACCCAGGGCTTGGCAAGGCCCTGTTCTCCTTGGCTGCGGGAAGCGCTGCATACATACAGCACCCAGTGTTCAGATTCTGGAGAACATTTAGGGAGGAGCTGGTGCTCTGTCAGCACTCAACAAAGGTCCTTTAATGTCATCTCCAAAGAATCCAAACCATGTCAGGATGAAGTTTTCAAGAAGTTGCTAAAAATAAAAGACGAATGTGCAAGCAATGCTGCTATTTATTGACTGAAGAGTCCTTTGGGCATATTCCTAGGAATGGTATAATCAGGTCATATATAGACATATTTTTAGGTTTTTTTTTTCAGGAACATCCATACTGATTTCCATAGGGATTGGACTCATTAAAATAGAACTTTGTTTATGGGAATCAAGGAAGAGGAGGCTGAGGGAGGAAGAAAAAGGGAGAATAAGGGATCACAGGGGTGGAGGTGAGGGAAATACAGTCAAGTCAAAATATATTATAGATTTGTAATGACAATGTATCGATGGAAAACCCAGTCCTTTGTACAATGAATATACCCAACTAACAATTGCTAAAGATACCAATATAAAGATTCATTGGTTAATAATGTTGACATAAACCCAAATCATCACAAATATAAGCATATAAACCGGATACTGAGAAATAAGTAAAAATTATATGGATGTGTGCATCTTTTCACACCATCAATTTTCACAAAACTGTTTCAAGTAGATAGAGTGAGTGTATGAGGAGAAAGTCCTTCACTGGAATGCCTCATAACTCCAGGCAACAGCAGCACTGGGCACAGAGCACAGGAACTGAGCACACAATGGATGACACAGCTATGCGTGTGACAATAAAATGAGATGAGGGTGAGACAGAGACACACTTCCTTGCATTCACAGAAATACAAGACAAAGTACAAATCTAATAAAGAAAAGTACCTGGAACTACCAAGAAAAAGTCATTACTGATAGGTTGGAATCACTAGTCATTGAGGGAGGTGCATGCTTATTTTCCCAAGTTTCCCTAAATAGAACTTTCTCTAATTGAAAAATGTAATAGTCTCAAATATGTGGGCTTGTATATGTTTCTCTATTCCTGTGTTTATAACCACACATGTTTACATAGACATCTTGATGTGGGTGTTTGGCATTTTTATTATCTATCTATCTATCTATCTATCTATCTATCTATCTATCATCATCTATCCATCTGTATCTATCATTTATCTATCTATCCATCTATATGTACCTATCTCTTTATCTCTACGTCTCTATCATCTATCTATCATCATCTATCTCTTTTTATCTGTCTATGTATCTATCTACCCATCTATCTGTCTCTCACTATATTTAGGTACACCTAGTTATCTCTCACTATATTTAGGTATCTATCTGAGCATATGTATTAGGAAATCTCAGATAAATGTTTTCTACATACATTTCCAAAAAAAGTTATATAATTATCCCGCCAATGATCAAATCACAAAATTTCTTCTTAGAAACTAGATTTATTTGTTTATTTATTTGAGGAGTGGAGGGGGCACACGCCATAGTACATACATGGAGGACAGAGGACAGCTTGAGAGAGTTGGTTCTCTCTTTCTGTTATGTGAGCTCCAGGGATCACACTCAGGTCATCAAGCTTGACAAGAACCTCACTTATCCACTTAGCAATCTTATTGGCCCTGAATTTCTTTATATGACACATTTGCAGCACACTGAACTAGGGAGCTGCAGGATAAAGATTTGTGAGGAATTGTGGAACAGGAAAAAGTGAAACAGTCTGTTGGCCAAGCACGCAGCAAGAGTCCAGATTTGGCCTCTGGGAGCAGAGCTGCATGCATGATGATCGTTCATGACACAGCAGCCAGGAGAGCAGCAATGCAGAGGTGGGACTCCCAGGGTCTCAGACACCTTCACTAACTACTAGATTGTTACCTAGTCACCTCGACTGACTCAGAAGACAGGATCACCAACAGCCCAGTTTTCAGCTGAGGTGACAGAGTCAAAAGTGTACTCTAGAAGAGCTACCACGAAAAGTGCAATCAAGCAATTCCAAAAAACATGATATTGTTGGAATTTCTTATTACTGTAGCAGATATAGACCTTCATCTACTTTATGAGACTATTGTAGGACTCAACCCTTGATTCTATTTCCACATTTTATTTTCTGTAACAGTTTTAAAAATTTTAAATCAAGAACCAAGAGTTAATTCCTATTAAAATGCCCAGAAGATAAAAACATACATTTTATTTATAATTTTTATGATGTTTTAATTGATTTTGTGTGCATGTATGGGTATGTGCGCTTAGGCACATACATGCTACTGTTAACGTGGGGAAGTTAGAGGAGAACTTGGGGGAGTCAGTTCTTTCTGGTCCTGGTTCTGGGGATTGAACTTGGGTAGTCAGGCTTGGTGGCAAGCTCCTTTGCCCATTGTTCCAACTCACTGGCCCCAAAATAAATTTTAGTATACTCACTGCTACAACTGTATTTATCAGAATACATAGAGCACATGCTGGTCAATTAACCTAAGCGTCTCCCCCCCCCCCTTATTTGAAAAAGCAGAATCTAATTTAAAAAATTTTCCAGAAAACAGAAATATGTAAATAGAGTAAAAATGAACTTTAAAAACTGGAAATAAAAGCAGTTCTCCCTTTGTCATCAAGATGTTCTATGTTTACAGCCCCTGTGTCCTGCAGGTGGACAGGAAGTCCCCAGAACTAGGACTTAGTGCCTAGCATTGGCCCAGCGTGGTACCCCACAAGCCAAGAGTTCCTCAGGAAACAACAAAATCCCAACAAATCCTCATGCTCACTCCCCTCTTCCCATAGCAAGGCCTGCCTGCCCTGTGGCTTGTTTGCTTGGAGCAGTAAGCGATGAACAAATCTGACGGTGTCTTTGGATTAAAAGACTGCGCTGTTTCCACAGACTTAGTATCTGTGAAGCCCTGAAGGGCTCTGCACTTCCTCTAATGACTTGTAAGAAACTCACATTTAATATTATGATCTGTCTGTTTGACAAGCTCGGCCTGCACTATCCCCACCAAGGTCTGTTCACAGAACTGTTTGGGCTATGTGAACAGAAAAGATTCACATGGGCTGAGAAGGTTAGATATTATTATTATTATTATTATTATTATTATTATTATTATTATTATTATTATTATTGATACAAACAGCAAGAGGTTTTATTGCAGTTGATTAACGAGCTAACCCCATGTTAGCTCAGGCCTTTCATCCATTCACCATGGCGGATGGCTAGGAAAGATGCGGCAAAACCACAACATAGAGATTTTATAGGGCAGCATAAGGGGAGTGTCTAGGGGTACACACAGGCTCAGGATTGGTGCACCTCCAGGCTTGGAGGACTTGCCCTGTGTTGATTGGTCAACTGGTTGTTATGGCCCATAGGCCC